TTACCTTATGCCTTTCTTCAGTGACATACTTAATTTCTCTGGTATTAAACCATTGTTAAGATTTGGAGCAACAAAAAAAGATTTTGTGTGCCTAGTTATTGCCAGAATTTGGTTACCCGTGTTTACTTTTAACAGGTCCTATATTGACTTTAGAGCTTTTACCTCCAGTTTATTTATTTTTTTTTAAACATTTTATTTATTTATTTGACAGAGACACAGTGAGGGAGGGGACACAAGCAGAGGGAGTGGGAGAGGGAGAAGCAGACTCCCCGCTGAGCAGGGAGCCCGATGTGGGGCTCGATCCCAGGACCCTGGGATCATGACCTGAGCCGAAGGCAGACGCTTAACGACTGAGCCGCCCAGGCGCCCCGCCTCCAGTTTATTTTATATTAAAATGTTAGATCATATCCTCTCTCTGCTCTAAACCTGTAAATGGTTTCCCATCTCATGCAGTGTCAGAGTCCTTATAATGGCCTACAAGGCTGCAGATGACTTGACCTGTAACCATCCATTCGATTTTCTCCCTTGCTAACTCCTGCTGCACCATTAGCTGTTCTTTGAACATGCTGAAAATATTCACCACTGAAGAGCCTTTTAAGTTTTATTTTCTAGAAACATTTCTTAACTTCCCTTAGGTCTCCTCACCTGTCTTCTTAGTGATCATCTCCTGGGCATCGTATAAAATCCAGTGTCTTTCTCCATCCTTTTCCCTCCAACACACTCCTTCTCATTTCCCTTTTGAAATTTTCTTCCATTATACTCACCTACATCTGACAGAGGGTATATTTACTGTATATTGTGCCTCTATCTCCCTCTTCCCCTTCCTATTTCCCCACAGAAGGGACTTGGTTTTGTCATAGCTGGTACCTAGAGTGGTGCCTGGCTCAATATAGATGCTCGGTAATTGAATAGATTATTTAAAAATTTGACGTCTAAGCCAGATATAAATTTATGGCCTTTTTTACTTGCCTGGCATTTTGCATCATTATCACCATAGATATTTTCTCTTTGCTCTTTCATCCATATTAACAAAATTATGTGCTGTTGTGTGTCTTTTAAAGCTCTCTACTTGGACTAAATTGTATGACCATTATTTAGAGGAAAATGATTATAGTATCTTTTTTTAAAAATGAAAGGAAAGAGAACATGAGGCTAGCTGTACTTGATTGGAGGCAACTCTTTCTCCATTTCCGGTTTATCCAGGGCTGGAAGGCAGTACTGAAATTGTTACTTCCTCAGTGCTATTTCTAAACCATATTTACTTGTAACCATTTTACACCCTTTCTCTTTAAAAGTTTTACATCTATCTCCTGACGAGCTCATCTAACCAAACTAGTGGTTATTTCTCTACTTGCATCAAAATATGTGATCAGTTTACCCAGTTCCCCTAGCTTTACAAGTTCCATTGTTACCTTTACTCTGCATCAGCCACCCACACCCATAGCCACGCCTTATTGTCAGTTGTTATACCTAAGATCTCTCTGCCAGTAATCTATCCCTCTCTTACTTCCTGGCTCCCATGTTCCTCATTGTCAGTGAGATGTTCAGGTTCAAGACCAGTTTTTCCTGTCAGCCCCTTCCCAGCTTCCCTTCCTTTTCTACTCACTTTAGTACAGCCAATACCAATCTGTGTGCTATCAGAGATACTGATTCAGTTGGTCTGAGATGAGGTCCTGGAATCCACATTTTAAGTTTCCCAGATAGTTCTGATGACAAACCAGATTGGGGAACCCCTGCTTGTCTATGGCTGACGGTCAGAACTACCCTTTGATCAATATTTATAGCATCTTTGCTTTTTTTGTCCTTCACTTCACCTGGAAAAATCCCTTTTCAAAAATTTTATGCTTTTTTTTTCCTGAGCCAGAGTCTGGTTGGAAAAAAATCGTGCAACCATATAAACTGGTGAGCCGCTACCAAACCATGGTCTCCAGCCGTAGCTGGCCCCTCACTTCTTAGGTTGCGGCCAGCAGTCAGGGGTCTGCTTCTTCAGGGACTGTTTTCGACTTGCCTTCTGTCGAGTCCCCTGTCCTTTCTCGCCCTATTCTGTACTTCCTTGCCTGTGTTTAGACCAGAAAAAGGACTGACCTCCACATGGGAATTGTAGTTTGGGGAATTGTGGCCAAATCCCTCCTACCCATCTTTAAAATCTGTAACTATGCTCACAGTACACTCTTAGTAAGAAGTTATGTTACTTCTTGATGAAGGCATGATTCTCTCTCTCCAGTGACCTTTAATGAGCTGTCTCCGCTCCTGTATTGTCAACCTCTCCCATGGCTTATAAACTGTTTCATCCTTGACTGTGCCTCTGCCTCCCTCTTCGCCTTCTCTGCCTCGTTTTTTGAGGCTCTTTGACCCAGTGTAATTTGACTTCTGCCATCAGCACTCCTGTTATCTCAAGGGTCACCCAATGTCAAAGCCAGTGGATACTCTTCAGTCCTTACCCTTTTGTTTACATCTCACTTCTTAAAATCTTTATTCCTTTGTCGTTCCTGACATTTTTTCTTTTCACTGTTACTTTTCTTCTGTGTGGGTATCTCCCTCTGTCTACCCCTTAACCTTGGTTTCCCCAGAAAGTTAGTCCCTCCGTTATCTTGATTGCCCTACATCCTCCCTAGGTAATTGCATCCACTTATGGTTTTGACTACTACTCACAGAGTACATTACTTCTCTCAAATCTCTGGTCTATCCCAATTTGTCTTTACTTTGGACCTTTATAGCCAGTCATCTTTGTGGTATTTTGTTTGTTGGAAATAATTCTCTAGTTATACCCTAAGACCATGTTTTTCCACATGCATTCCGTCATATGGAAATGGTTATCCTCCAGCAATTCTTCCTAGTCTCTCGTGATCATTTCTGAATAGTCTACTATCACCCTAAAAGCTACGCATCAGAATAGTCTTTGTTGTTTAAAGTTTTTTTTTTTTTAAGGTCTTATTCATTTATTTGACAGAGACACGGCGAGAGAGCGAACACAAGCAGGAGGGTGGGAGAGGGAGAAGCAGGCTTCCCCCCCGAGCAGGGAGCCCGATGTGGGGCTCGATCCCAGGACCCTGGGACTGTGACCTGAGCCGAAGGCAGACGCTTAACAACTGAGCCACCCAGGCGCCCCTAAAGATGTTCTAATTGGGTTTCTTTTTTTAATCTAAAGGTGTAGGTAAAGGTATTTCGAAGATCGTAAAATATGTTCTCACAAAATGCTCCTTGGCAGAGAACTATGGATTTTTAGTAAGCTGAGGTATTTCTAATCATGAAAGAAATGAATTACTATATGCTGTTATAGTGCTGAACAACTGTTTTTGCACCTTAAAAAAGTGAAGCCTTTCCTGAAACATGAATTTTGATTTTTCACACTATATTGTTGGAGCCCTAATTTGACTGTAAAAATGTGTCAAATGACATGCAGAGTTTATTTACTGGTATTTTTAGTCAGACTTATATGAATTAATGTTACTGTAGGTAGAGTAGTCGTCTCCCCCTTTTCCACAGGGGATAAGTTCCAAGACGCCTGGTGGATGCCTGAAATCATGGCTAGTACTAAACGCTGTGTATGCATACCTATGGTAGAGCAGTTTTAACAATGTACTGTGATAAGTTATGTGAGTATAGTCTTTCTCTCCAAGTATCTTAACTGTATTGTACTCACCCTTGTGAGGTGAATGATGTAGGCGTTGTGGTATAACATTAGGTCACTGTTGACTTTTTTTTTTTTTTAAGATTTTATTTATTTGAGGGGGAGGAGAGAGAGAGAGCGAGCGAGCGTGCGCGCATGAGCAAGAGCAGGGAGCCCGATGGCGGGCCTTGATCTAGGACCCTGGGATCATGACCTGAGCCGAAGGCAGATGCCTAACCGACTGAGCCACCCAGGGCCCCCTACTGTTGACTTTCTAAGTTATGTCAGGAGGAGGATCATCAGCTTCTGGACCATGGTTGCCTTCATATAAGGGGGACCTACTGTAATTCCATAAACGATGGCTTAGCATCTGATTTAATTTTTTTAAGAGTGGCTCTAGTCTGTCTTTGTTAGTTTCTTCCATACCTCTTAACATTTATAATTAAGTTCAGCTACTCATTAAATTGTTAGCATGTAGGTAGTTTTATATTATGTGTACTAGCAAGACTTTATCTTTGACCACACCTGTAATAACATCACTTTCTTGTTTTGGAAGATCAAAGCCATCGGCCAGACAGAATTGAACGCAAGCAACCCAGAAGAAGTGTTACAGCTGGCAGCGCAGAGAAGGAAAAAAAAGTTCCTCCAAGCAATGGCAAAACTTTACTTTTAAGCAGTTAGTTAAAATTTTTTAACTTTTATTTTTTAAACAATGGGCTAAAAATAAACAGTATTAGATTATATAATACATATGTACACATTTAGTGGTGTTTTCTTTTCAGACAATACTGAAACAGTTGAAAAACAACTATACAGAAGACTTCATACCATAACCATAGCTTAAATTTATAATTTCTTCAAAGGAAGAGTCACGTGTCCAGTAACAGAATAAACTAGCAACTTAGTATAATTTATTTTCAATTAGGCCCACTCTTGAGGCTGAAATTTTGTTTTGTTCTTTTTTAAAAATATGTAGAAGTAGCTAGTCTATATACAGCAAGTTCTTATGTCAGGTTTTTTTTGTTTGTTTTTAATAAATAATCTAGGAGTCAGTATACATTTACTACTTTTCTGCCTTATGAAAATAGAAGTTTAGGTCAAGTGTTAAGCTTTATCACTTTTGACACTGTCCTTAACTCATAATGTAGGAATTAAAAAAGGACCTTAATAGTTTTGCAAACATAAATAGTCTTAGTCACACTAAATTAAGAAAAAGTCCTTAGGGATATCTTGGGAGTTAATAAAGTGACTTTCTCATATAAATAGGTTGAAAGGGTACTTCTTCACTTAAATTGTGATGTACGAAAAGTTATTATAAAGCAACCTTTGTGTCAAAGCCCAAAGTAGGAGCTACAACATTTATCTTGTTTAAAATTTCTTTGGTATTCCCCCTTTTTGTTCATCTAAGCCATACTGGTTAAAAAATGCCATGGCAAGGCAAATGTATCAGTTAAAAAACAGATTAAAGTTCACCATTTATAAAAATTCAAGTTTTATAATAGCTTGCTACGGCAGCTATAGATAAATTAGTCACCTTATTATAAAACTAAACCTTTTGTAAACAAGTTTAAATTTTATTTTCAAAAACCAAATTGCACTAGTCAAGAATATGAATTTTGAGAATCTATAAACTAGATTCAAAGTATTGTATTACTCAATGTCCCCTTTAAGGTAGTACTTATATAGTCTAAAACGCCAATGATAAAATTCTCAGTTTATCAAGATAAACATAGTAACACTGGATCAAAAAAAATTGTTATGGCATAAATTGTGGCTGGCTTCTATCCAGTCACTTTGGGAGTGAAATCTTTGTAAACAATCCTGCTGTTTGTTTAAACAAACAGCTAACCTAGGAATTTCTTCCTTAATGCCAATTTTAAGTAGTTTTTTTAAATTCAAAGAATGGCAGTGAAACTTCTGAATTGGCTAGGGCAGTCATAGCACTACTTTTCTGAAAACTTTAGTAGTTCAGTTCTGTGAAATTCTACCCAATACTCAGTCAGCTCCAGCTTGTTTGCTTAGTTAACTTCCTCAGTGTTTTCCTGGTGGTTTCTCAGTGCTTTTCGGTGGTGTCATAATTCCTCCACTACACACTGGTGACAGCTGTCCCTCCTTTCTGAAGGTGTTTACGTAATTCACTTCATCCTATAGGGGTGAAGAAATCATGCGGACAATAACAGGTAAGATAAAGCATTGACAGAGTTAACGTCAAACCAGATTTTTTGGGTATTCATTTGAGACTACTTAGGCCTCATGTAGTGGTCTCTGTTTTTGCAAGCATGACTAGTCACATTTTAGAGATTCAGCAGTTTGAACTGCCTACAACTGTATTTTTAAAAACTCTTACCTGGACTATTGGCATTGATCTTGAGACACTCCACAAATCTTGCTTTGACATTAGTGTGCCCATTAGAACTTTCTACCCCCTAGTAGCTTAAATCACTGCCCTGAGGTATTTCTAGTATCCTTACTATCAGTTTCAGTGACTTACTAGATAAAAAACCAAGAAGCCCCACAAGAAACATACCAGCATAGCCAGATAATTTGTATGTGTCTGGATATTGTGTCTGTCTTCCATAGAAATCTTCTTAAAAATTTTCAGCTTCACAGGACTAGTACTTTTTACTACGCTGACAAAAGGCACCATCCAGTCTACACATTCAGAAATGCTGTCCCATTCCAAACCTAGACAGAGGAAAATTAGGAAAATGTGAAGGTTCCATCAGAAACTGTCTTTAAACATAGTTTGAGAGTGCTAATCTGCTTTAACTTATTGGAACTTGATTTTGGCCTTTTTTTTTGTTTTAATTTATTAGAGCGCACATGATAGCCAGGGGAGGAGCAGAGCCCAGCATGGGGCTTGATCCCCACCACCCAAGATCCTGAGCTGAAATCAAGAGAGTCAGACGCTTAACCGATTGAGCCACCCAGGCGCCCTGATTTTTGGCCTTTTAATAATGTGACCGTTTTGAGGGAGAAAATTACTTAGAGGCCCCCCCCCCTTTTTAAAGGATTTATTCATTTGAGAAAGAGCACATGAGCAAAGGGGAGGGGTAGAGGAGCAGATTCCCTACTGAGTGCAGAAAAACAGGACTCTGTCCCAAGGACGTGAGATATGACCTGAGCCAAAACCAAGAGTCGGACGTTTAACCAACTGAGCTACCCAGGTGCCTCAAAGACTTTAGAGCTTCTTAACCAATACCTTCTACATATGAAACAAATTGTCAAAACCCAAAGAACTCTTAAAGCAGAGCTAATATCCATGTTGACTGACTTCAAATGGATATAAATTCCATTTGACTTTTTTTTGTTTATGGATATATATTGAAGATTAGAAAGTACTTCTAACCAAAAGGGAAGGTAATGGCTAATTTTCTTCCATTTTATAGGAAGCTAAAGTTGATAAAAGTCCCTTTAAAAGTGGACATGTAAGAAGATAAAATATAGTGCTTTACCTGAGGCTTTCTTAACCACTTCAATAGAGGTAAAATGGCACAAGGCAGCGGCAGCCAATATTCTGTACTGGAACTCTAATGAATCGATGGCTAGAATACACAGATCTAAAAGCTAGCAAAGGAAAAAGCAAAAGTACACATATTTAAGAGAAAAGATGAGTGATACATGTTGCTACTAAAGATCAGTCAGCTACAATTTTAGAGTACTTATGTGGACCCATATGCTAAGAATTGCTAAAACTATAGGGATCCAAACATAATTTCCTTGAGAGTGGTGGCTTGAGTTAGTTAGGAAGTGAATAGACAAGGACTGTTAGGATGCAGTGTGATATGTAGTAGTAGGAAGGGCACCTCATCCAGAGTGGGGAAGACTTGTGCTGCTTAAATCTTAAAAGATAAGGTAGCTAGGAAGATTGGGAAGTAGAGTATTCTACGTATAGGGAACAGCACTTGCAAAGATAAATGAGAAGGTATTCCTTTCCCTTGGAACTCCTAGTTCAGAACAAAGGAATTCCTTCATTTCCTTATTTGGGGGGGCGGGTAGTAACTGGAGAGGGACAGATTAGATCATAGATTAGCCTAGGTTAGATCATAAAGTGTCATTAAGAATTTTAGTTCTGATTACTGAAATTACTGGAGGATTTTAAATCAGGAAAGATACATTTTAAGAATGATCGTTTAGAAACACGTTCCCTTCTGTGTATCTGCTTCACTGTAGTCTAAACAGATTAGTTAAAAGGCAGATTATAATCCAGGTACGAAGAGCTGCACAAAGAGCAGAATGGTGTAAAGGGGCTAGATTTCAGAGACCTAAGGTGATACCTGTCCAGTGGAATAAAATTGTTTGCTCACATTGGTCCAGAAGATAGAAACGTGAGAAGACTTGGAAATAAACAGTGTAGACACAGTAATTACCAGCTTATCAAATGTTTGTTCTCTACGAAAAGGGTATAGCTGCGTAAAATAATTTGGAATGCTGGGAATTGACAGAAAAAGTCTTCATTAGAAAGTTTTATAAAATGAACCAATTCTAATATTTTACTGGTAATTCAGTTTTAGTGTTCATAATGTGTTGACTAGATTTAAAATACAACTAAATTTCAACCTAGGTTATTTAAAACCCATCCCAATATACTGTAGTTCCTTCAATTCCATATGTAAGCTTTTCATATCCTATACAGAATTAGAACATAGATTTTCCTCACTTATATATGGCAGTTACAATAGTCTTTAAGATACTTATGAGAAGCAGGCAGGAAAGAACATTTGTTATGCTGGTCTAGGAAAGCGTAATTTGAACCAAATTTTTAATAAATAACTAATCTTAATTCTAATGTACAAAATAGGTACCCTGTGTATTCAGATAGGAGAATAAGATAATCATATAGTTTCATACCATACTAAAGACAACTGGCTAAATGCCTTTTTCCATTTTATATACCAAAAGTATTTAACTCTATTTTAGACTCAAAGAATGAAAAGTATTCGTAATACATTTGAACTCAAAAGTTTAAAAAGTTTGTCTTCTAAAATTATTAAGCAACATAAATGTTGAGAACAATTTTATGCATCAGCAGTTTTGTTCTCGTCAACTAAGGAGTGAATTATGCTTTTTGTTGTATAGCTTATTTAAGACTAGAAATGCACTAAACAGCTATAATAAAACAACATTAGCATACAGTCAGTGAAAGTACCTGAGCTATTTGAATGAACTTTTCCTGAGAATATTGAGGTAGAAGAACTTTAGGAGTATCTTTAAGAGCATCAACTTGAAGGAAGAGATTTAGCCAGGAGATGACTGTTACAGGACAGAGTTCCCATTTTAAAGCCTGTTAATGGAATTAAAATACCTGTTAATAAATGTAGATATAATATACACTCTTATACATAGCTATTTTACTAGTCATTTAAAAGCTTTCTGCTTTAGGTTTATTTCTTCCTAGGAATTTTTTCTTTGTAGGATTTTTATTTGACAGCGAGAGGGAACATAGTGGGGGAGCGGGAGAGGGAGAAGCAGGCTTCCCGCTGAGCCGGGAGCCCAATGTGGGGCTCGATCCCAGGACCCTGGGATCATGACCTGAGCCGAAGGCAGATGCTTAACGACTGAGCCACCCAGGCGCCCCTCTTCTTAGGAATTTTATTCTTACCCTTATTTTTATTAAAAATATTTAGAGATACTTCAGCATGTAAAGGTGCTTAATATAGGCCCCTTTATTATTATCTAGTCTTTATTTAGAAAGCTCATTGAGCCTAGTATTCATTCCTCCTTTTCTCATTTCTTGCAGCCCCTGGTCTTCTACATCTATTTTTATTTGTTGAAACTGCCTTTGTAAAATTGTATTCAGTGACCAAAGCTAATTCCATTCAGATCTTTCAAGAACTGATTCTAGACTTTTTCTTTTCATGATCTTTGATGGCTTCTCATCAAATTTAAAAGTTCAGAACAAAAAAGACAAATCCTGATTTATGATACCCTCTCCTCCGTGAAGCCCTGGGACTTGACCATTTACAAGCAGTCTAAAATAGTTAGGTGAGAACAGTGTTACAGAAAATTCCATCTCCTCTTTACATACCCCTTATGCTGTGCTTGCTTCAAGCCTGAATTTGAGTAAGTTTATTATTAGAATGGGATCTTTCTGGGCACTTGATATTTAACAGAGTTATGAATATAAACGTTTATAGATTGTAATCTGTAATACATATAGTTTAGATAAATCTATAAAAAGTCCTTTGTGTGTCCTATATAAAAACTCATGGTGTTCAAATAACATACTTTCTAGTAGCTAACATTCAGCCTTTAATTCAGAGCCTGATTAAACACCTTTGTGCTTCTCTTATCCATGCTTCTGTTAATAGCCTTTTTTGTGTATAGAAAGAAAAAAAAGGCAAATAATTCTCATTATCTGTTGAAAGAAGGAGAATATCAGAACTAAAATTTGAGAGTCACTGTTGGAATTCATTTATATATACACATGCTATGCTAATTATACTTTTCAAAGCATTGTCCTTAATCACTTTAAAATTAAGAAAGTAATATATTTTCAATAAAACTTCAAAGACAGAAAAAGAAGAGTCTACAGGTTCAGTAAATTCCCCTCCATCCATACCATTGTCAGTATTTTGATGCATTAGCCTCTTTGAACTGGATCCTAATGCTTAATGAAACCTGTTTTGACTATTTACATTGTGGTCTTTCAGATTCAGTAGTAATCACTAAGTCACTAATTGCAACTAGACATAATTTATTACCTTTAATATAATAAGTTCCATTCTTAAAATATCCTCTTCACTGCAGGCACCATCAGTGACATAAGCAAATTCTTGGAGCTTAGGAGCATATATTTCCTTTAAAATGGATTTAAAAAAATAAGCACAGTTGAGATTGAGATTTAAAAAGTTACACAGAAACCACATACAGTCTTCATTTTTAAGGACAGCTTCATGAAGTGATTATATGTCTTAGTAACAAGATATTTTTCAAGGATGCAGGAGTCTAAATTAGCTAACTACCCTGAGACTTATTTTCATAGACTTGATCTTGATTTCCAGTTAATAACCAGAATGGGGTGCCTGGGTGGCTCAGTAGGTTAAGCGGCTGCCTTTAGCTCAGGTCATGATCCTGGGGTCCTGGTATCGAGCCCCGCATCGGGCTCCCTGCTCAGTGGAGAGCCTGCTTCTCCCTCTCCCTCTGCCTACTTGTGCTATCTCTCTGTCAAATAAATAAATAAGGGTGCCTGGGTGGCTCAGTTGGTTAAGTGACTGCCTTCAGCTCAGGTCATGATCTTGGAGTCCCGGGATCGAGTCCCGCATCGGGCTCCCTGCTGCTCAGCAGGGAGTCTGCTTCTCTCTCTGACCCTCCCCCCTCTCATGTGCTCGCTCTCTCTCATTCTCGCTCTCTCAAATAAATAAAATCTTAAAATAAACAACTAGAATATCTTAAAATATTTCAGTTAAAAAATAAAAAGCCAAACTTGTTTTAAGATTGCTTAGTATATTGGCCGGACCAAAACAAGACACTATTTTTAAATAAGGTCTAGAAACTACTGAAAACAGTTCCTTCACTATGAAAGTATGGTAAGTCAAATACGTTCTGCAGTTTGGCTGACAGGTCTGTCTGAACAGCCCAGAGAATAGACAGAATGATCAGAGTCGAAGAGAGGCCTGCTACAGATGAGAACAGGCTAAAAATCAAGATTTCAGTCTAGAAAGGTACCTGAAGCACACAGCATGATTCCAGGTAAGGATAGACTGAATACAAAAGTATTCACCAAATTTGGCAGAATTGGGAGATAGCTCTTAATGCTCAAAAGTGTATATTTAAATATACACTTAAATGAAGGCATGATTCACAGTCCCTCTCCTACCCTCAAAATGATTTCAGAAGAAAGTATGATATCCAAAATGTACTGTTTAAGAAAAATAGATTGAAATTGTGTGAAAGAAAACCTCAGGCAAGAAAAGAGTTGTTTTCTATCCTGGCACCACCACCCAGATACAGAATATAGACCATTCAGTATATAGATACAGACCATTATTTTAACCCGGAATAGTATTTATTTCATTTGATTGGTCAGTTAGTTTTCAAAGACCATTCTATTGAATCCAAGTGCCATACTAATGTATAGGGACCACACTGGTATATTGTCTGGCAGAATGAGCCATAGGATAATTCACCTAGATGTTTCCTGAATCTAAACCAGATGCTTATAAATAGGCTCAGATACTAACAAAGGGAACTATATTTATCCATCCAAATCAATATTCAGAAAATGTTTTAGGGAAAAAAGACCACCCACTCATCTTTCCTATAGAGTTAATGTTAAAAGCTGTATTTGGTGGGAATATTAATGTGTTGATTTAAAAAAGTGAGGTAAATCGATCTATGGATAAACCTTGAGAACTTACCTCAAGTTTGGAAGCGATGAATAATGAGGTAATTCCAATGAGTTGAAGCATATTTTTATTTATATCCTTTTGTGTCAACATAAATCTATCAAAAAAGTCTTGCGCAAGGTAAAATGTTTCTCTATGAAGTGTGTATACTTCACATACCTAGAGAAGAATCCAAACATTTAAATATTCTATGCATTTCTCCAGAGTAGAAAGTTCTCTCCTAAAATACCAGTCTTTAGAATACTTTTAAGACCAACTTTGGGGGCGCCTGGGTGGCTCAGTTGGTTAAGCCTTCGGCTCAGGTCATGATCCTGGAGTCCCGGGATCGAGTCCCACATTGGGCTCCCTACTCAGCAGGGAGTCTGCTTCTCCCTCTGACCCTCTTCCCTCTTGTGCTCTCTATCTCTCATTCTCTCTCTAATAAATAAGTTAAAAAAATTAAAAAAAAAAAAAAGACCAACTTTGCTTTTTAGGATACCAAAGCTAAGGCTGGGGTGGGGGCAGATATTAACATGTACTAGGATATAGGATAAAAGAATCTATTACCATCCTCATTTACGCTTTCTAGTTTGTTTTTTTTTAAGTTATTTATTTTTAAAGCTTTTATTTATTTATATGTCAGAGAGCACGCACAGGCAGAGGGAGCAGCAGGCTCCCTGCTGAGCAGAGAGCCCGACGTGGGACTCATCCCAGGACCCTGGGATCATGACCTGAGCTGAAGGCAGATTCTTAACCAACTGAGCCACCCAGTTGTCCCTACTCTTTTTTTTCACATGGACTTAATTTATTCCCAGATATACTGATACTACGAGAACTTTTTTCTATTAATTTCCTAATTGTTTATTGCTGGTAAATGGTTAAGTTTTCATGCTTAGTTTATATTTTTAATTCTAATAGCTCCAAATGATTCTCTTCACTGTTCTAGGTAGACATTTAACTACAAAATGATAACGTTCCTTTCAATGTTTTTAACTTCATTTTTCATGTTTTACTGCATTGGCTGAGAATTTTTATAGAAGAAAACTGAATGAACAACATTGGTGATAAGACAGTCTTGATCTCATCCCTTGTTTCTGACTGTAATGGGAATGTCCCTAAGTTTCACTATTAATAATAAACAGTATCTGTCATTCCATACTTATTACAGGGAAAGTTTTAAATTCTGAACTCTAGAAGGTAGCAACTTTATCCCCATTTTGAGGATGAGGAAAACAGAGATGGAAATACATGAGTTTCTAATAAACAATGTGTTAAGGAAATCTTAGTTTCCTACATATTTTGAAATGAATGGAAACAATTTCAAAAAATGTCTTTCACATCTGTTGAGACTTTATGATATTTCTCATTTAAACTGTTAAGGTAATGTTGAACCATCTTTGCATTCCTAGACTAAAAGGATATACTAAGAAAAACTAGAGTTTAACACTGCTGGATTTATTATATTCTATACAGTTTTGCATATAATCGTATTTAAGGGAAAATAGCAATAAGTTTGATGGGCCACTACTGGAGAAAAAGTCAGTGTAACATAAAAAGGAAAAAAATTCTACATAATTGTGCTTATTAGGTGGCTTCCATGATCACTAGGCACTCCAGAAGTTACCTTCTTGTACCCACATGATTGAAATACCTTCCCTTTTAGTCAGAATAAGAAATGATAACCTTACTCAAAAGGACATTGTTTTATAGTCTTAAAAACTTTTCTGATAGCTTCTGAGATCTACTCTGCCATGTCTTATTCCACCAAAAAGCCTATAGTGTTTCTCCCTTAGAGAACATCATCCCTGTCAAACACAGGGAAACTACAGAGCGAATATCCAAGGGCTGGAGGAAAATCAGTCTCATTTACACAAGTAATCATTTTCCCAATAATTTTAGAGACTGTTGGAATTCTTATCCGGAGAAAAGGAATGGGCCTAAACAAGAGAACATTCTGGCACAGATCTTTAGAGACTTGGAGATCACTGTTACTCCCGTAGATTAATGGTACAGTGTATTTTGAAAAGGAATAAAGGTATGTAATAAAGGGAAACTACATGAAGCCTAGGGGGCTTAGTGCCTCTGGATATTCAAAGCCTCCTTATCATTTAGGACCTAGAAATCAGGGATCTAAATCATAATTTGATTTTGATGATGCAGAAAAGGACTTCTGAGGGCCCTGAAGCCTCGTCCTGGTTCTTCACCTTGCATAGCAGAATTCAAAACCTTGTCAATTATATATACTGTTCATCTTGATCCTCCTCAGTACCCAGTGCCTGGTACACAGCAGTACCCACCGACACCAGGAATTCTGAATTAGGTTTGGGTTGTATGGGATGCAGTGGCTGTGCTATTTTATTCTCACAAAGCAGACATTTTCCATTTTGGTACCATCAACTGCAGTATGTACCCCCAAAAAGATGGCTGCTGGAAATGAATACCAAGGGCACATGGAAAGCACATGTACATCTAAATACTTTTCCATTATACAGAGACAAAGGAAATTTGTATTGATGAAACATACCTCTAAAAGCCAGTCTAGAAGTATTGACCTCATCTGTGGTTCCAAGTCAGAATGCAGAACTTCAAAATGTTTGTCATGAACGTATCTGGTCTCTTTTTTTAGCATGTTTAGCCAAACATCCTTTGAACATCCCCAACTATAGAAAGGAGGAGTATGTGACCTACATAATATTCAAGCTATCTGTTTTACAAAGAATAAACTTCAGGCATTGAAATACAATTAGAACCTGGAAGGAGAAGCTCTTTAAGTTAGGAAAAAATTGCTACTTTAACTTTTAGAAACCATTTCTTTAGCATAAAAAAGCAGAAGCCTGAAATTGTACAGTAAGAACTTAGACTATGGCTTTCAAGAGTGCTTTCCCCATTTATAAAAGCCTCCCATTTAAGAGAACAATATTTTCTGAGGAGCAACACTGAGAATTTAAATATTTAAGCATATGATCCCAGTAGAGACAAGTTCCAGTCATCTCCAGGTAGATCAATAATAGACTCACCTAAAGTGGTGGTAGCTGGGACAGAGTATAGTGAAGGGGAGGGATGGTGAGTTTAAGTGTCTGCCCATTAATGTGTGTCTTAGAGCCAAATATACTACGCTATGTGTTTTGTATAAGCTGTACCTCTTAGTCATATTAACTAGAAAAAATAATTGAGTATAGATCTTCCTAAGCTTGGTAAGAAATAGGGTTGATATAGCAAATGAAAATGTCGTACATTTCCATCTTAACAATTTAGAAAAATTATTTAAACCTCATTTAAAAAGCCTCTAATGAGGCTTACAGTATTCAGCAAGTAAATGAAAATTACTTCATAAAAAAATCAGTATTTTAAATACCCATATATCCTTTGCAAACATCACCATTCTCAATACATGCATAAATATTAGTAAAGAAAGCAATTTTTGGATGTTTTTCTACATTATAATGGAGGTAAAATAGGACTCAAAATAGTGTAATATATTTAGTACAATTTTAATCTTCGATATCAAATTACAAAAAATTTTCTTACCTTAAATCAGGCAAAGGTGAAGGATTAATAAAAAGATTTTTAAATCTGTAATTTGTAAATCTGGAGAAGTCACTTGTTCCCATTTCTTTGTGGGGTGTTTCAATGATAATACAAGGACTGATCCCCCCAGATAATACAGGTGGCCAACAATTCTGTCATTTAAAACAAAAATTTGTGCAAAAGAAAATCAGCTTTTGTCTTGGATCTTTCATAAATGGAAGCTAGTATCTCTAAACAGTCTATAGTTTTCCCCAAACACCATCGCTAACCACTGCTGGCAATCTAGTTGACATTCGTATTTTAGAAATAAGATATACAGTTCATAGCGATCTTTAAATAGTAACAGGTGGGATGTTTTAGAGAACAAAATACAATTCTGGAAATACATTAGGTATTGGGGGAAGGGAGTAATAACAAAATGCATCTGTAGTCAAACACTAATCACTTAAAAGATTATAAAACAAATTCTCCCTGTTTACAATAGTGGCAAGGGCACCTTGTTTTATAAAAAGCTCCCCCCACCCCAGTTAAGCCTGCTCCCATACTTCAGAATACTATAAGGCAAAACCTTAAAAACGGAATCAACTGAAGTCAATTACTTAAATATTTTTTAAAGGACCCTTTCCCCAACCAATGCTGGTTTCAAAGAGAACCATTGTCTCTAGTATTCTCTGTACCACACATACTTAGGATAGGTAGCAAAGGGCTGGGTGCCAGTCTGTTAGTGACTTCACATCCTATTTATGCCCCAAGGAACAGCTATTAGGACCCTCCACTGTAGTCAGAGAGGGAACAAAGAGCAGTACATTGGACAGATTAGGCGGGCCCTGGTGCACCAGGCGACTCCAAGAGGGAGGGATTTACAAAGAGGAACCAGCTGCTTCAAGGCAAACTTAACTGCAGCTGTAGTAGGATTCAGGCACATAAAAACCACCCAAAGATATGCACCTTCCTGCTGACCTCTAGGGGCATTCAAAGTAAAAAGTGTCAGAGGTATCTTTCTGTTGCATAGTAATAACACAATTCTATTCTTATTTGTCCTGCATTCGTTTCCCCAAAGCCCACCCAGCCCAGTTCTGCATTACCCTGATCTCATATTGATGTTTCTTGGTGACCTCCTCTTTCCTTTTTTTGACATCCTGGAAAATAAAAAAGACCACTGTTAAACTGAAGTCCCAGCAAAGAATTTCTAATCTCTCCTCTCTCTCTTCCCTTAACTCACCTGAGCTGTTTTTCTCTTCTTGGCCTGAATTATCTGGGCTTCTTGGGGGAAATCCGTCTGGCTGGGCTGGGGCTGTTGCTTAGCTTGTAAACGGCTACTACGGTGAAATTTTTTAAAGACGGTTTAGTAAGTCATGAGTTTCAAGCACAGCAGCTAACTTTTAAACATATCTATCTACAAGACAAATAATGTTACCTGCGTCTTGACATTCTCTTCTTTCAGGTGTGTGAATGTGAAATCTCTGGAGGGGAGAAAGGAAAAACGAGAGTCAAATACATTGTCACCCAAATTCTCCCAAGTGCCAGTCAGATGCTCTTGCAGGGGTTACGGCTCAGTCCCTCAGGAGATGGCCTGGGCCATTTACCATGCTGTCTTATGCACGACAATGGTTGTCTCACGGTATTAATTTTTGGACACATGCCTGCGTCTCCTCAACTGAATGTACTGCCGGGACGCGAGGGTCTTCAAGAATTTACAAAGCACCCCCAGCAAGGAGGCAGATCTCCCCCAAATGGGTCTTTTCTGCGCCCTCCATCCTCTCTCCCGGAACCCTCGGGGACTTGGGCAGCGCCCCCACGGCCCCCCTTCCGTCCTGGACGAGCCGCGGGGAGAGAGGGGGTTGTGGAGGCGAAACGCTGTGGAGAAGCCGGTTCCGCGCCAATTTGGAGAGCGGCGGTGGCGGGGAAGCAGGGGGCGGAGGGAACGGAGACTTGTGTCACGTCCTTCAGTCTCCTTTCCCTCCTTCCCAGCCCCCCGGGCCCTGCCTGTCGCTTGAAGGGGCACCGGGACCCCGACTCCAGATGGGGGGTGGGAGTGAAAGGAAAGGGAATTAAAGAAAGGGGGAAACTGGGTTGGTCAGGGAGCTCTTCTCCCCGTGAAGGGAACCCAGACCCCATCCTCTCTCCCGCGGGAGAGCTCCCCTAACGAGGGTGGGAGAGAGAAACCCCTAGAATGAGGGCATTTTCCGTGGCCTCCCCCTTCGGGGCAGCCCTCCACCCTCGCCGCTTCCCCGGCCCCCTGCCAAGGATCCTGACAGGGACGCAAAGCGGGGACCCATCCCCCCCAGCCGCCTGTTTCTCAGCCTTCCCATTTTTCCTCCCTTAAGCTCCCGCCCGCGGGAAGAATCGGCCCCGGGGGCTTTCTTTCCTCCCGCACTCCGCCCTACGCCCAGCACCTCCTCACCGCTAGACCCGCTACCGCTCCGCTCTCAGCTGGCGCCGGCGCCAACCCAATATATAGGCCGGGCCAGGCCCGCCCTGCACGCATGCGCCGCAGACTGACACCTCCGGACTGCGCGCTCCCCTCTCCCGCGCGCCCGCCCCGCAGGCCCGTGCGCGGCGCCCTGCTCAGTCCGCGCCCGCCCACCCCGATGGCCCGGGACCCGCTCGTCCAGGCCCTCAGTCCGCGTTCACCTGTTCTCCACTTCACCTGCCTGCGCGGCCCGGAGGCGGGAGGGAGTCTCTCAGAGGCTCCTCCCTCCTCCGAGGTCTGGCTCCCCGCCGCTCTGCTTCCGCATCTCCCGCCCGTGCTTTCCAGTTCCCTCCCGCCCTCAACTCCCGGATCCCCGTCCGTGTCAGGCCGCGGCTCAGTCCTGGCCTACGGCCAGGTGGAGGCGGCACGGGCGAACATAAGAGTAGTCAGGAAGTGGCCATCCTGCGGCGCACCGTGGCTGTCCCGCTAAGGTCTCAAGGAACCCAGTTCCTTCGGAAAAGACGCCGGGACCAGGAGGGCCCGCCCCCGCGGGAGGAGCGCCGCTTTGGCTGGCGAGCTGGCCAATGGGAGGCGAGGACGGCAGCACAACGTGGAGAAGCTGCAGAATGTAAACAGAGCCGGGCGCGCCGCGGGCCACGTGTGTCCCCGCGCGCCACCCGTCGGGTCTGGGACCACCGGGGCCGGCCGTGGCACCTCAGGGCAGCCATTCTCTGGGATGCCTGTCTTGCACTTTTCTCCAGCCCGCTGACGGAGGTTCGTGTCAACCCCCATTTCCCGCTGCCCGCTCCGCCGACCGGGTTACCTCCCATGGGTGGGTCTCTCCGCACCCCGCCGCCTTTCCCCTGCCCGGCTGCTTCCCACTCCGAAGTCCCCGCGCCGAGAAAATGCTCGCGCCAGGCCGCACCCTCCCTTCCTGTCCTCCAGACGGGCAGTTCCGGGGCCCCCCAGGAGTAAAACGTCTCTTAAGAGCGGGGCGGGGGGCAGCATTCGGCCTTCCCCCTGAGAGCGGTGGCCCTCCCGGGTCGGGCCGGGAGAACTAACCCCCACCACGTGCAGGCCCCGGGCCGGCCCGCCGCGCCCCGCCCCGCTGCCGCCAGCGCGCCCTGCGGAGCCCGCGCGAGTTGCCCGCGCAGGAGGGAGCCGCCCGCCTCCGAGCTATAATAGCAGGAGGCGGGCCCGACGCGTTTCCCTCTTTCCCCCCGCTAGCTAAACATAGGGGTACCCTAGCTACCTCTATTACCGCCCCTCTCCAGCGCGCCCCAGACTGGACATCTCCAAGTGGGACATGCCGTTGCTACTCCGCCAACAGGTTTTGCGGCGGGAGCGGTGGGGCGGAGACGCCTGCGGGAACAAAGACCCCCGCGGTGGAGCAGCCGAGCTCAGGCTCCCCGGAACTCGCGGCAGCTTGGGCCGGCCGCGGGCTGGCCGGCTTCGGCGCTCTGCCCTGGTCCGGCGCGAGCCGCTGGGGTAGGGCCGGGGAGACGAGGGCGCTCGAGCTGGCGCGGTGGCGCGGCCCGGGCGGGAGCCTTTCCCGAGATGCACCAGGCGGCGGCAGCGGCCGGGACCGACCCGGGACCCCGCCCCGCGCCCTTTGTGCCGCTCGGTCCGGGCGGCCCTAGGAACCTAGAAATAACCACTGCTCTTCGGGGGTTGGGACTCTCAAGGCCAACTCTTTTTCCCTCTTTGGATTCTGACTCTGACGACAGGCTCGTGACGCCGGCAAAATAATTGTTTTCCCCCCGTATTAACGCAGGAAGAAATACTAAGAGCCTTGCCTCCGGTGACATAGAATCAAAAGAGGCCCCGAATCTTCAGTCCCAAGAAGCTCGATACCATTATAATGCTTATGATGGCGCTCTCGTTCCGGGAGGAGTTGCCTCCGTTTGCAGTCACCTCAAAACACTTGGCGGTGTAAAAGCTTAGAGATCTAACAGCATGATGGTAAGAAAAGGGAGGTCTTCCAACAAGCGTATGTTACCTTGACGTACACAAAACTGGTGGCCTAAATGAGCGACTATGATTATGAAAATATATTGAAAACTATGTCGATGAACATTTGTAGGATTAATCTTGGAGTATGTATGTATTGTATGCCCAGCACTGGGCTAATTAATAAATTACTTGTAAACAAGACATGTAATTAGAAATCTTCTTTGGTCAGTGCCCTTGACTATGAAGTGAATACAGTGCAATCATAGTAAGGGAGAGAACTCAGAAGCAATCTCAAGACTGCTTTGTCTGGAACCAACAGGGTGAATTCTGCCGAATTACAAGTAGCTGGCCAATGGTTAAGTGGGACTGAAAAGGACATGGGTTTACTCTCAGATGGACCCAGGTTCCAATCCTGCTCTGTTGCAAGCTACTGAATTCCTCTGAGCATGGGTTTTCTCCAGAAAACATAGAAGACACTCTTTTCATGGCTCTTTCTAAAGATTACATTTGATAATGTATATAGAGACCCTCTCTTATGTATGTACCTGTCACAGAGCAGATGCTCTTTGCTCCTCTGTCCACCCCCCTTACTAGTTTACACCCATAGAAATTGAGTTGTTTGAAAGATCCGCAATAAAACAGAAAGCTGAATGACAAAATTGCTGTTTCTCAGAATTTTGTTCATGTAGTCATCCTTTTTGATAGTTACTTTAGACATCATTTTTTTAAAGGTTTTAAAAAATTTTTAAGTAATCTCTGCACCCAACATGGGGCTTGAACTCATGACCCCCCCCTCCTCCAAGATCAAGAGTCACAGGCTCTTCCCACTGAGCCAGCCAGGTGCCCCTAGACATCATCTTTCAATATGTTATCTTTGTTTCATATTTTAGCCCCATTTCCCACTGATCCCAGTTTTAAAATTCACTTATTTTGTGTGATCTCAGGGTTGTGAGATCCAGCCCCGAGTTGTGCTCTGTGCTCAGCACGGAGTCGGCTTGAGATTCTCTCTCTCTCTCCCCCTCCCGCTCGTGCTCTCTCTCTCTCTCAAATAAACCTTTGAAAAATTCACTTACTTTGAAATGTATATTTTTTCATGCTTGTAGTAATTTTAGAGATGTTGGCATTTTCTAAAGTATATTTTCCCCAGTGTTCATGCAAAGTTAAAACACCATGTTAAAGTATTGGCCTCTACAGTGCTTTTATTTTCAGGGGAAAAAAAGGCAGGGAGAAAAGATTTTTAGAGGAACAGGTTTAAAAAAAATCAGGCCCAGCCCACTTATTTCTTGCTTCTGTACCTTTTCCTCCATATGCCTCCTCTGTGAAACCTTCCTAAACCCCTTTCTCTGTGCTCTTCAGTTCTGCTCACCTCACAGTACAATAATTACCTGTTAAAATGTCTTTTATCTCCAACTAGGCCTTGGATCTTGTTTTGTTCATCTTTTTATAATAGGTATCCAGCAGTTCAGAGGCCTACAAAGTAGGACCTTGGTAAATACTGAATTGAATTATGCATAGGATATCCCATTATAGAACTTTAATTCTCTACGGCTAGAGTGATGGATGGTAGAATTATTCACCAATTAATAAGTTTTTTTAATTAATTCTATTTTTTAAGATTTTATTTATTTGATAGAGAGAAACAGTGAGAGAGGGAACACAAGCAGGGGGAGCAAGAGAGGGAGAAGCAGGCTTCCCGCTGAGCAGGGAGCCCAATGCGGGGCTCGATCCCAGGGTCCTGGAATCATGACCTGAGCTGAAGGCAGACGCTTAACGACTGAGCCACCAGGCGCCGCAAATTAATTCTATTTTTTAGAAGTTTTTAGATTTAGAGAAAAATTGAGAGGGTAGAACAAAGCTCTATATATTCCTTCACCCTCCCTGACCACCTCACACAGTTTTTCCTATTATTGACACATTAGTCTGTCACATTTATTACCATATGAATCAATGTCAATGCATTATTAACTAAAGCCCATGCTTTATTCAGATTTACCCTAATGTCTTCTTATTGCTGCTGGATCCAAACCCATTGCATTTAGAACTCATGTCTCCTTGAGGTTCCTCTGGGCTGTGACAGTTTCTGAGATTTTCCTTATTTTTTTATGTCCTTGACAGTTTTGAGGAGTGCTGGCCAAGTATTTTGTAGGATGCCTTTCTTTCTTTTTTAATTTTGTTTATTTATTTGAGAGAGAGAGAGCAGGAGTTGGGGGGAGGGCAGAGGGAGCCCGATGTGGGGCTGGAACCCAGGACTATGACTCGAGCCGAAGGCAGCCACTGAGATCACCGAGCCACCCAGGTGCCCCTGTAGTATGCCTTTCTAGTGGAATTTGTCTTATGTTTTTCTAATGGTTAAACTGAGGTTATAGATTTGGAGGAAGAATATCGCAGAGGCAAAGTGCCATTTTTATCATATCAAGAGTACATGCTGTCATCATGGTTTATGACTATTGATGTTGACCTTGATCACATAGTAGTGTTTGTTGGGCTTTGACATTGTAAGAGTTACTTCCCCCATCCCCACCCTCAAATACTCTACTGCTTGGAAAGAAGTCACTATGCAGCCCACAGGGAAGGAGTGGGGAAGTTATGCCCCTGCCTTTAAGATAAAATATCTACGTCATTTATTTGGAATTCTGCTAGATTTGTCTCTCTCCCATTTATTAACTCATTCAATGATTTATTTATATCAGTATGCACTCATGGATATTTATACTTTTTTGTTTTGGTTGTGTATTTTGAAGTATAATTCAATAGTACTTTATCTTGTTGCTCAAATTGTTCTAGCCTTGGCCGGGGTACTTTTTTTTTTTTAAGATTTTATTTATTTATTCAGAAGAGACAGAGAGAGACAGGCAGAGGGAGAAGCGGGCTCCCCGCTGAGCAGGTAGCCCGATGCGGGACTCGATCCCAGGCCCCTGGGATCATGACCTGAGCTGAAGGCAGACGCTCAATGACTGAGCCACCCAGGCACCCGGCCAGGGTATTTTTAATACTTTTTTTTTTTTTTTTGTCCTAGAACTGATTTGAAGTTAAGCAAAAATGAATATGGCTAAATCATGACCAGTATATCTCATATGAAGAGAGGAATAAAACATTTTTTACCATTTACCATTAAACTTATTTATTATCCATCTAGCCAAAAGGCATCAACAGAAAAAAAAATCCTTTCACATTTTAATACTGAACTGCCCATTAGACTATTCCTTTTATTGCCTCATCAAGGACATTTTTCAGTAAACCTGTTTTTTTCCTTTTTTTGTAACGGCGAGTGCTGGTAGGATGACTGCTAGTGTGGTTGGGCACCACTGTCTTGATTTAAGCCAGCAGTTTCACTGCCGCTGCCGTCTGCATCAGCATGGCAGATGTTAACGCCGTGAAAACAGTTTTGACCTTGTGGTCTCCCTGAAAGGGCCTTTGAGACCCCAGAGATTCCCAGACCACACACTAACTGCAGATCTAGTTTCCAAACCAGAATGCTAGGAGTCGTCTTAGTTATTCC